TCACTGGGGGGGATGTAGGTTCAAGTGTTCAGGGAAGGGAGACAAGGACAGGAGTATTGGGTGGAGGGGTGCTGGGAAAGAATGTCCAGGCTTGAGAAAGGCTTGCTGTTCTGAGGTTTGCTGTTCTCTGGCTGAATAGATTCTATCCAGGTTTCTGACACCAGGTGATTAAATTGAAGATAGGAGGTAGAGGACTACCGAAAGAGGAGGGGTGGGAACCATGCCAAATGAGACGTGATTATAGAAACTAGTTGTAAGTTGAAGAAAAGAAAGTTTGCGAGAACTTGACTCCTGTCTTTAAAATGGCCAAGGGCTGCTGTGAACTAGCAGAGGTGGACTAGTTCTGTGTGGTCCCTCGGGGCCAAAGTTGGACCAAGGCCAGGAAGTTACAGGGAAGCAGAATTCTGCTCAAGCAGGACTGTCAAACATGGAAGGGTCACCAGGGGGAAGGAATAAGCTCGCTCTTCCTCAGTAGGAGTGTCCACACAATGGTTCCAACTGCAACTGATTCCTCAACTCACTTCTGTTTCTCTGCACGACTCTGGCCCCTATTTCTCAAAGTGATCTCAAAACCTCATCCTCTCCCCGTAAGCCGCAGATCCTACTCCAATGCTAATGCGTCAACCATTCTCCACTGTCCCCATTCTGGTCCCATTATCTCTTGTAACAATCTCCTGACCAACACCCTAGCCAGTCACCTAGATTCCCACCAATCTGTCTCCATGGTGCCGGAGAAAGTTCTACACTGTAAACGTGGATCTGTTACATCCCTGCTAGGAGCCCTCCAGTGGATTTCTGGTGTCCTCATGAAATGGCTGGATTCCTTGGCCATGACTTTCTTTTGGCCATAAATTCCACAGTGACTTTTAAGGCCCTTCATGGTCTGACCTGGGCAGCCTTAGCCATTGCCCTTTCCCCTTGGATATTACACACTAGTGATACTGGATGCTTTAGATCCACACCCCGCTGCATGTACTCCCACGCCTGGGCCTTTGCACACACTCTTTCTTCTCTGGAAGACTCTTCTTTCTTATTATCATTCCCACCCACTCCACTCCACTCCACTTTACTTAACTCTCTACTAGTCACCTGTGAGGTCTCAAGTTCAGTGTCACTTCTTCCAGGAAGCATTGCTGGAAGTATTGTGTACCTATATAATTACCTGTACTCCACCAGAGGGCGGGGACATCTGTTTTGTTCACTACATCTTTCATTGCCTAGTTCCTGACATGTAGTAGCTACTCAATGTATGTTTGTTGAATGAAAGATTGTTCTTCTTGGCAAAGAAGCTATAGAAGGGATTCCTGGTTTGGGCCCTTGTCACCTCTGAGACCAGACTTCGGATAAGACACACCCTTTCCTACCCTTAAATAATATGTTATCATGTGCAACAGGGATTTCCGATGTTCATTTCCTGCTTCAAACAGAAATTCACTCGAGGCTGTGATGCAAGAGGCAGCAGGAGTCTCCTCAGGGATCCTGTATGAACAGTATTTAATTGCACAATAGGATTGCAGAAGGAAGACTCACTGATGAAATGCTTGGTTTCCATAGCATCAAGCTTATTCTAGATACACCTGTAAGGGTGATTACTTTTCTGCAAGGGACTGTTCAGACATCCCACCTCCCTGAGTGCTATCTTACCTCTGGGACTCCTGTAGAACCTGGTGCTCTTCTCTCACTTGGCAGAAACAAATGGATAGGACATCAATAGCCAATAAAATGAACCTTGACCTATACTCCTCAAACCTTATACAAAAATAAACTCAAAATGGACCAGAGATCTAAATTTAAAATATAAAACCATAAACTTTCAGGAGAGGACATAGGAGAAAATCTTCGTGGTCTAAAATAACAATTCATTTAAAAAATTAACTGATTGGACTTTATTAAATTAAAAGTTTTTCTCAGTGAAAGACGTGGTTAGGTTAAGAGAATAAAATATGGACTAGGAAAACACATTTTCAAATTACATATCTGACAAAAGAGTTGTTTTCAGAACCAAGAACCCTTTAAGCTCAACTGTAATGAAACAATCCAATTAGGAAATGAGCAAAAGATTTAGACACATCACCAAAGAAGATATGCAGATGGCAAATAAACTTCAAAAGATGATAAACATCACTAGTTATCAAGAAAATGCAAAGTAAAACCACAACATGATACCACAATGCATCTATTAGAATGGCTAAAATAAAAAAATTAAAAAAAACATTGAAAAAACAAATGCTGGTGAGGATGTGGAGAAACTGGATCTTTCATATGTTCTTGGTGGGCATGTAAAATGGTACAGCCACTCTGGATACCTGTCTGGCAATTTCTTAGAAGTTAAACATATACTTGCTATATGACTCATGAATCTTAATCCTGGGCGTTTATTTCAGAGAAGTGAAAACTTACGTTCACAGCACAATTTTTTTCACACAAACTTATTTCACACAAAATGTTCACAGCACATGGTTCACCAAAAATGTCCTTTACACAAGGGCTTATAGCAGCTTTATTTGTAGTAGCCCCAAGGTGGAAATAACCCAAGTTCTCTTCAGTGGGTGAGAATTAAATAAACTGTGGTACATCCCGACCATGGACACTACCCAGAAATAAAAAAGAATGAATTATTGATACATGCCAACAACTTGGATGTGTCTCAAGGGCATGTGCCTTAAGTGCAAAAAGTGAATGTTAAAAGGTTGGATGCTGTATGATTTCATTTATGAAATGTTGCCAAATTGACAAAATTGTAGCGATGCAGAAGGAACCTTTAGTTTGTGCTAGGTGCCCTTAGTTTGCTCATTAATTCAGTGCATTTATTGAATGCCTTCAGTATACCAAGCACTGTGCCTGAGAAGAGAAGAGTAAACAAATGGCCTTTGTGATACAGTTTAGCTCAGAAGTGGTTAATTAACTAGTCCAAGATCACACACTGGTAAGTGATGAAATTGGATTCAAACCTATGGCCCTGATCTCAAAGAGAATGTTGCCTCCAGAGTTTTCTTTTTTAAATTTGTTTATTGATTAAGTTATTACATATGTCTCCTTATCCCCACGTTACCCCCTATCCCCCCCACTCATGCCCTACCCCCCTGTTGTCTGTGTCCATTAGGCCTCTAGAGTTTTTTAAGTGCCATGTGACCATCATATGTTTATGCTATTGGTTATGTCACTTAAAAATAAAACTATCTAGCCCTGGCTGGTTTGGCTCAGTGGATAGAGCGTCGGCCTGCGGACTGAAAGGTCCCAGGTTCGGTTCCGGTCAAGGGCATGTACCTTGTTTGTGGGCCCATCCCCAGTGGGAGGTGTGCGGGAGGCAGCTAATCAATGTTTCTCTCTCATTGATGTTTCTGGCTCTCTATCCCTCTCCCTTCCTCTCTGTGAAAAATCAATAAAATATATTTAAAAAATAAATAAATAAAACTATCTAGAAAGCAATTACTGGGAGGTGATTATTAATTAAACCTCTAGAGCAGTGGTTCTCAACCTTCCTAATGCCGCGACCCTTTAATACAGTTCCTCATGTTGTGGTGACCCCCCCAACCATAAAATTATTTTCGTTGCTACTTCATAACTGTAATTTTGCTGCTGTTATGAATCGTAATGTAAATATCTGATATGCAGGATGTATTTTCATTGTTACAAATTGAACATAATTAAAGCATAGTGATTAATCACAAAAACAATATGTAATTATATATGTGTTTTCCGATGGTCTTAGGAGACCCCTGTGAAAGGGTCGTTCGACCCCCAAAGGGGTCGCGACCCACAGGTTGAGAACCACTGCCCTAGAGGCTGTTTTGGCTCTGTTAGAAGACTTGATAAAGGCTTTCTGATTTTAAAAAGTATTGAGTTATTGAAAAATTATTCAGTATATCATCCTTTTTGTTGTTATGGACTCAATAACAAACACAGAGAGAAAGAAAATTTAAAAAAGAGAGAGAAAAGAAGGGTAAATTTTCTCTTTCTCCTCCCAGAAAGTTCATTCAAGTGTTCAGTTTTAAGACCTGGGCTCCCCCTGACAAGGATGGTTGTGGGAAGGTGACAACTTCTCTGTTTTAGCTCTAGGGTGGGGGAGTAAGGTACATGGGTCCATAAGAAAGGAGTTAGAGCCTTCAAAAGCACAAAAGCCTAGCCTGGGGAGCTGGGGTGACAGGACTGGGATAATGGAGGATTGAGAAGCCCCACCTCCTTCCATTCCCTGGAGGTAGAAGGGGGAGGAGGGCTATGGGGCTGCATGGTGGACTAGGCACAGAGCACCATGGCTTGGAGCCACGTGAAGGCCCAGCAGCCAAGTGTACCTGAGGTGGTGTGATCACCACCAACAGAGCCACCACCTTGAAATGGATGACATGCACTGGCTTGACCAGCAGCATCTGCGTGGTTGTCTGAGGATCTAGGCCCCTCCTCAGAATTTCTGGATTGTGCTGCCGGGAGTCCATTTGCCAGGAGCCGGTCCATGCTTGCTGTTTCAAGGGACCTGGCATATATGGCATACTGTTTTTAATATGTTTGCTCACCTTCTTGGCACTATGTGTTTTAACCAAGGTCTCTGAGAAAGGTTGTTTCCCCAGGTAGGGATTTTCCCCTGAAGTTAGGGAGGGAATAAAACCTCTTAACTAAGTGCCAGGTGGGTAATTAATCACTTTAACTATGAACAATCATGCTTAAGCTACATAATGGAGATAAGAAACGCCCTAACCTTTGTAATAGAGATTGATAGGATTGAATCAACTGGTATAAATACAGTTGTAACTAGACAGCAAGAGTCAGAACTTAGAACACAGAACTAAGAGAGACAGAACCTAGGCACAGAACCTACACAGAACCTACAGACAGAAGAACTTCGCTGGAGAGAACATGGCAAAAGATCCTGGACTGAACCTGACTACAGAAATTGGCAAGAGAACCTGACTAGAACCTGGTGACTGAACCTGGCTGGAGAACCTGGACAGAACCTGCCTGGAGAACCTACCAAGAGAACATGGACACAGAACCTGGCTGGAGATCCTGGCTAGAGATCCTGGCTAGGCTGCTGATGAACTGAACACTGTCTCCGTGTCATTCCTTCTTCGCCGACTCCATCCACACCTTTGGGGACCCCTGGACCCGCTGGGGTTGGACCCCAGCATTGTGCAAGGTCCACCTTCATGTACAATCACAGGGCATTGTACGCAGCAACCCTCAGAATGACCAAGATTGTATCTCCTGACTCTGCCAACCAGATAGGTGAGGGCTGAGCAAGATTTGTGTTGATTTAGAAAAATGTGAAAAATGATGTACTTCTGAGTCTTGTGGGTTACACTGATTTCTGTGTATGTGTAAATATGAGAGAGAAGAGAGGATGTGCCCTTCATGCATTTAACTAGCACTTGCTTTACATGCCACCTTGCAGGGACATGCTGACCAAATTTGAGCCCAAGTACCCTCCAGCATGTCCTCTATTTTAAACTGGTTTAAAACTCTGTGTTGAAGAATTCAGATGTGGTAGAGCGAGCAGGTGAATCCAGATCCAGGTCTAGCTGACTCCAAAGCCCATTGCTAGGCATGAGATTGAGGTTAATTCACCAAGTTCTGCCTGGAATGGGATTGAATGATCTCAGGGCTCTAATCTCAGAGAGATGCCTGCCATTGCTCTCAACAGCCACTGGAAGGGAAGGTGGAACCCAGTCTCATCTCTGCTCCTTTGCAGGTCCTGTGCTCCTGCCTGCCTGGTGACTGTTCCTTAAGCTGAGTCCCTGTGCCAGTCACAGCTAGACTGTGTGTGATGAGACCGCCATTTACTTTCATAAGTGACCCCCCGCCTTGACTGTTATCTCCAAGAGCTCCAACTCTTTTCTACTTGAGCTGCCACAAATTCCATCTCCCCAGAACATCCTTGCATAATTAATAACCCTATTTCCACAGGCAGGACTTCAACCTGTCAGGTGTTTTCTTTTTTTTTTCATGTCTGATCGCCTCAGCCTTTCCAGCACCAAAGCACAATGTATTGTAGAAAGGCATTGAAAAAAGAACAGATTTTTGTTTCCTTTTTTTTTTTTTAGCATAAGATTTTGAACAACTTTATTATAATTTTAGATTAGTTATTATGATTAAAAGTTAATTTTTAACAGATATTTCTGTAAGTCAAGAATGAGTAATTATTTATAAATAATTATAAGAATTATATTTATAAAAAATAAGGCTTGTGGTTTTAGTTATATGAGAAAGTTGAGCCCGTCTTCCTGCAAGGCGACTTCTGTCAGCACATGACTTAGCAATCACTGCAAGCTCTGTGAATGAAAGGAACTGAGGAGTTCAGAACTGTGCCTCTCGGGTTTGCATCCTGATTCTGCTCTGGCTTCCTCACAGTCCTCTCTGTTTGTATCACCTGGGAATGCCCATCTCTCCTCCCAAGCCCTGTTCTGTCCAAGTCCTGCCCCCCTTCTTATGGTAATTACTTGTGTTGAGATGTCTGAGTGCTGACATCACCTGACTCTTAGGATGGGCTGGAACCAAGGAGCCAAACTCATCATCACTATTAGGGTTTATAAATCCATAACCCAAACAGTTCAGATATCAGGAGAAGACAGATAGCATAGCCCCAATGACAATCATGTCATTTCCTTAATCCTGAAGTTCCTGTTTACCTTTCCAAAAATGATGCTGACTTTGTGATATTTTATAATTTTAAAAGTCATAGATACACTTACTTTTTAAAGTGAAGAAAGGTACAAAAAAGAGAGTAAAAATCAACCAGAATCTCACTGTATTCCTCCAGATATATCAGGAATAACTTTCTTTTTCTAGATATATGTAAAAGAAGTCTTTTTATGTGTTAGTATTAGGACTAGTATTTAGTGGGTTAAGCAAAAAAAAAAAAGTTGAAGTAAGAAATTATAATATTAAATGTATATTTTAAATCTTCAATTTTAACGGAAAATATATCAGTGTTTTGATATAGCCTTTTATGTCACTGCTGAAGGGAGTTCACCTTTAACTTTTTTATAGAGACACTATAACATTGTGTCTCGAAATTTTTGTTTTGGCTTTTTTGAAGAAGAAAGAAAACTAAAAATAAATAAATAAATAAATAAATGTTTGTGCAGCAGTCTGAGAGAAGAATCTTGAATTTTTAGGAACCTATGTTCCTATTCCCAATACAATAGCACTTACCCTATTTAAAAACTAAGTGAAATTAGTTTTTTAAAGTTGCTTTTTTCTGTTTTCACTCATTTATTTTCAATTTATACAATATTTAACCACGAAATTACAATAACAAGTCAATAGGAATAAAGAGGTTAGAGAACTTCATAACTGAATCCACTAAGCACATGAGCTATCTGGTGGGAGAGCAGTGAATGGGTGCAAAGGCCCCCAGCTCTCCATCCAGAAGCCTCAGTGGCTCAAGCATCAGCCCCGGATGTTTTCCAGGTGGAAGGGGAGAAGTGACTCAACTGGTGAGTCAGCTAAGTGGCTGGATGTTAATTAGGAGAGTTCACACTGTATAGAAACACACACACACACACACACACACACACACAGACTATAATGTATTTACAAAAGATGAGATCAGACTATACATACTATACATATGGCCTATTTTTTATTTATCATGTTTATTTACATAACAATAAATGTGGACAGACATCATCACTTCGATTGCATGGTGTTGTATTGTATAGATACCTAATCTCTTACTGAAACCTTTTGGACTTTGTTTTTTCTTTTTTTGCACTTGGTTATATTTTAATTCACTTGTTTGATTATTTCCTCAGGATAAATTTGTTGTAGGAATTGCTGAATTAAAGTGTACCCCTATTGTTAAGACTTTTGATACACATTGCTACCGACTCTCCAGAAAATGTGTACCAATTTATATACCTCTGGGAATGTAACCCCCAGATTTTCCTATTGGCCCCATAGCTGCTCCCTCCTCCCCAGGCTCCTGATGAGCAATAAGGGCTCTCGGGAGGAAAAGGTTTGAAGGATGAGATCTGGCTTCTCCATGGAGATGCCAAGTGAACTGAACAGTGGTACCAAGGTGGTAAATCCATTAGAGACAGAAAATACTGGAGGGGAGGGAAGAGGGGAGGGGACCACCTCTTCCTTTCTTAAAGTCTCAGGACAGCCTGGTGTGGCAGAGAGCCAAGAATGAGACCCCAGGAGACCTGGACAAGATAGACAGTTTGGTCAGTTATAGGTTCTGTGACCTCTAGGCTACTCATTTCACTTCTCTGAGCTCCAGTTTCTTCATCTATAAAATAGCATTATCATCTCAGCCTGCTTTGCATTACAATCAGCTAGACATGTTGCAGCCAGACTCTCAGCAGGGAATTGCTGCCTCAGCACGGAAGGGGCTGACCTTGGACTTCCGTGCTTATAACCTGGGTCTTGTTAACTTCTAAGAACAAGCCCTTGCTTGCTACTACAGTTGGTGTACTTGATAACCACATTGCCCATATTCTCAATTCCTATCAGACTGGGTCCAGAAGCAGCTAGAGACTAGACTGAAGGGTGAGGGGAACGGAAAGAGAGATAGTTGCTCCCTGAATACAAAGGTACGGTGTTGACATGATGGTTGTTAAAAATGTGACGGAAAGGCATTGAAGGAATCTGTGTGAAACTACACAGAGGGTGGAGCCTTTTAAAAATGCTTCTTCTTTTACAAACTGTAATGTCTTTGACTGTGCAGCCTCAATTTACACTCATGCCCCGGATGCAAGCTGACTCTTACTGCATCAGTGATGGTCACCAACAAGCCCATAACCCCCATCTCACCTGTCCACCTCGGTCCCTGACCCTGAGGTACTTGGCATGGGTGGGAGTCATCTTCCTTATCTCTCAATAATCCGGAAGTCCAGGGAGCAGTGCCTGCCTCCCCCTTTCTGCCTGCCCAGCTCTCTCCAGTGTCCTTTTGTCCCAATCTGATGGCACTGATGCAGGCAAGCAAGCCTGGGACCTGGCAAGTGCCCAGTCAGGGAATGGTGTGTCAGTGTCCTCTTTTTGTAGATACCAAAATAGCTATTGATTCTCTTAAGGTGGAGCAGAAACTACCCATTGCCTGCCCAGGAGCCTTTTCAGCTCCCTTTCTTTACTTTGCACAGGCAGAGATCCCATGTTATCAGGAGAGGAGCTCTAAGAGATGCATTTGGATTCATCAAAGTCAGACATAGAACCTCTTGCCCGTTGGCAGATGATGCCTTTAGGCAGGCAAGTGACCCAGTTCGGGCCATGGAAGCATACAATATGTGTGTAGGGAGCAGGGGCAGAAGGCTGAGCCTGCAAGGAGAGTGTCCTTTCCCTTCCCCCTTCTTCCTGTGTTAAACACTAGAAAACCTGGAAGTGAAAAAGCCCTTTAGTATCTATAAAGTGACAAGCTAGAGGATGAAAACCAACATAAGGATGGTGGGACAAAAAGAAATAGCCTGTGTCCTTGATGGCATGGTTGAGCATGCCCAATAGGACCTAATACAGCAACCACCAGCTCAATGCACTTCAGCTCACTTTTTCTGTTACTTGCACCCAAATGCAATCCCAACCAAATGTATGGGAACTTTGCTGCAGAGAGAAAAACCAGTCAAGAGCCCTGTGCACTTCCCTCTGGGGAGGTGAGCAAAGGGGATAGATAACCTTCTCTTCAAACATGGCTTTCTCCAAAAGCCAACCCTATCCTTATTCCCAAGCCTCCTCTTATCTTGCCCAAGTGGTCCGGAGGTGATGGCAGAACAGGGGATGAAGCTGGTTCAACTTGCCTGGTCTCTCTCAGTTGACCCTGGGGGTGTGGAGAAAGGTTAGCTTTAAACTTTGAAATCTTGGAGGTGAGTTTTAGGGAATTCACTTAAAGGCTTTTTTTGTAAAAGCTCATGAAACCTCTGTGGAGACAGGGATGACTTGTTCCTGTCCCTATCTAAGGGAAACTTGAAATGCATATGACAAAATGCACAGGAGTTGGGAAAAAGCACTTGCTGTCCTATCAGGGAAGACTTCCTAGAGGGGTGCATATTCAATAGTCCTTGAAGGGTTATAATTTGAACAGACAGAGCTGGTGGTGCTTGGTTACCTGAAGACTTGACTTCAGGCTGACACATACCACATGGCTGTTGTGAGTCAAAAAAACACTAGCACAAGATTTATGTGCCTCTTGCTGTTATTTTCAAGCTATCCTTGCGGATTTCCTACCTGTGTCTGTATACCTGCACGCCCTCCTACAGCCATCCATGAGCAGCATGCAGTAGGAAAAAACCGTGGGCTGGGAATGAGGAAACCTGCACCCTTTAAGTTCTGTGCTCAGGGCGGACATTGCTCATTGAACACAGCACTAGGAAATGGTACAGAGTAAATGCTCAGTGCGGTAGGAAGAAAAATAGCCCTTCAAAAGATAGTCTTGTCCCAATCCTTGGAATCTATGAATGTTGCCTTTTATGGCAAAAGTGGGGAGGGATGGGAATTTTTGCATATGTGATTAAGTTAAATAGTTTAAGGTGGGAAGATTATTCTGGATTATCTGTCTGTGCCCTAAATGCAATCATGTGCACACTTATAAAAGGAAGGCAGAGAGAGATTTTTTAAAAAAAATTAAATCTTTATTGTTCAGATTATTACATTTGTTCCTCTTTTTCCCCCCCATAACTCCCCTCCTCCTAGTTCCCACCCCACCCTCCGCCCTCACTCCCCACCCACTGTCCTCATCCATAGGTGCACGATTTTTGTCCAGTCTCTTCCTGCATCCCCCACACCCCTTTCCCCCTCAAGAATAGTCAGTCCATTCCCTTTCTATGTCCCTGATTCTATTATAATCACCAGTTCATTCTGTTCATCAGATTATTTATTCACTTGATTCTTAGATCCACTTGTTGATAGATGCATGTTTGTTGTTCATAATTTGTATCTTTACCTTTTTCTTCTTCTTCCTCTTCTTAAAGGATACCTTTCAGCATTTCATATAATACTGGTTTGGTGGTGATGAACTCCTTTAGCTTTTTCTTATCTGTGAAGCTCTTTATCTGACCTTCGATTCTGAATGATAGCTTTGTTGGATAAAGTAATCTTGGTTGTAGGTTCTTGGTATTTATCACTTTGAATATTTATTGCCCCTCCCTTCTGCCCTGCAAAGTTTCTGTTGAGAAATCAGC